AGAAGAAGATTGTGCTCACATGAATTCAAGGAAAATGAGGAAATATGAATTAGGATTATATTTGTAAATTTAAATAACGCTTAATTGCAAATAAAACTATGACCTTTTCGAAATTTACAATTATATGCATCACTTTTAAACTTGACAAATATATACACTACTTTTACAATTTTTTGCAATTGTATGCATCGGACCCAATTTCGGGTTTTTAATTGCAAATAAAACTATAATCTTTTCGAAATTTGTAATTATATGCATCACTTTTAATCTTGGCAAATATAAATATCACTTTAACATTTTTTTGCAATTGTATGCATCGGGCTCAATTTCGGGCTTTTATTGCTGACGTGACAATTTTCTGGCAATTTTTGTTGATATGGATGTTGATGTGGGGATTTCTGCTTACATGACGCTGATATGGATGCTGATGTGGCGGTTTACATGGCGCTGAAAAAGTAAAACTTTGCTAGGGTTTGAACATGGGACCTCCAAGTTGTATATTAACATTGTAACCACTACACCAATCCAAGTTGTACTCTAATTCAATAGCACTTAATATATATAGACATAACATAATTATAAGCAAATTAAATTTAAATGATAATGTAAATTATATTTACTAATATTAATAAGATATAAATTTATAATAATTAAAATATAATAAAATAACTTGTATATATTAAATGAAAAAAATAAATTAAAATAAAGTAAGATAAAATTTATTACAGTAGAGTGCATTAAAACTGTATTGCATTTAAATATATTTATATATTTCTTATTTTATTAAAATAAAACTAGTTTTATAAATTGAAAATGAAAAATAATAATGATAAAATTAAATTAAGAAATAAGCTACATTCAAGTACACCAGTTAAAATAAAATAAAAATAATATAATATTATTCAATAGTATAAAAAATGGTAAATTAAAATAAAATAAATAATAATATAAATCAAATAACTTATTGTTGTCGTATGGATATGTAACAACATCATTAACTTGAATATGACACAAATTAAAGCGATGAAAAGCGATAATACGTGAATTGTATTGATTAGTCAGTAGTCGGCGCGTTTGTAACTGAGATGGAAATAATACAAAATGCCGTCCCCCTTCACTGAGGGGATTTCAGGCTATATATAGTAACTTTTTGTTACACATTGTTCGAGGTCTCCAATCATTCAGGATTTGTACGAAAAGTAGCTTTAAATGGGCGGTTTTAACAGTTGGGCCCACGATCATCATGACGATGGACATGAGACGTAAGGAGGTCGCGTAGGCGCCTTGTCACCTGCTTCGGTATTGATGAACTCGATTACTTCCGAGGTGGGTTGTGAGTCAGTAGACGGTGGTAAGATTTGAGGAAGTCGGTGACTGCCTGAAGTCGGAGAGGATTTGGAACGTGGGTTCTGACAGTTTGCCATGTCGGTGGGAAGGAGCAATTCCGAGGTCACGTGTCATGTGTAAGAAAGAAAAGTTTTTGGAGCTATCCGACGTCTTGTCATTATATTAAACCGCTGTCATTGCTGTTGCGTTATTTGTAATCCGATTTACCTGGAATAATCTACCATTTACCAAGTCGGTGGTCAACACTTATTATGAAATAATATATTAAAATAAATAAAAATCTTAAATGAAAATAATAAAATTAAAAATATTATTTCATTATAATATTTTTAATATAATATTAATAAATAATTTGTTAAAATAATATCAAAAAATTTAATAAAATATTTATTAAAATAATCTCATGTAATTTAATAAATGAATATAATAAAATAAAAATATATAATTTGAGATTATTATAATAAATAATTTACTAAATTATTCGAGATTATTGTAATAAATATTTTATTAAAATACTTATTAAAAAATAATATAATGAAATAATTTTTTTATTTATTATAATCATTTATGATTTTTATTAATTTTAATTTATTATTTCATAATAAGTTATTTGATTTATTATTTTATTTATTTCATTTTACTTTACTATTTTTTATACTTTATTATCTTATATTATCTTATTTTTTATTTTATTTTAATAAATAAAAATTTAGTTTAATTTTAATGTACTCTAGTATGATAAATTTTATCTTATTTTTTTTTTCAATTAATATGTATTATTTATTTATTATATTTTAATTATTATAACTTTATATCTTATTAATATTTTTTTTTCGAAACGATAGAGATATTATATAAAAAAGCACAAACGTGCGAAAGTACAACCCCTAGCTGAATACATACAACCAACGACTGAATACAACCAGCCAACAGCTGAAAAACTGGGAGGACAGCCAAAAGACTGCCTAGAACTGACCCCAACGGGGTAATCTAAAAACTCAAAAAACACAACGATACTGAAACACTAAAAAAAATTACAAACGACCCCAACAGGGTAATGCCCGAGTGTTCGGTCCCAACAGGATAATAAAGTCACACTCGGGCAAACTGGGAGAGGGAGACATCTGGACAGGAACGATGCAAGCAGTGAGCCGCGTCCCTCCTATGTGGCCTCACTCCACCTCGCCTCGCCACCCAGAAGCTCCGGCGGCCTTCCAGCACAGATCGGTGGGATCTGCCAAAGACCTCCTTCCTCGCCCCCGACCAGAGAGATGATGGGTGGAAGTGCCGCGAATAGAAGCTAGGACACGCGGCGAAGAGCCGTCCACCGACTAGTCGGATGGACGCTGAGGGAGCACAAATCGCCGGCGCCTGGAAGCTAGGGTTGCAGAGAGGAGAAAGGGGATTTTCTGCGGTAGTGAGAGAAATTTTTTTTAATAGTTATTCTTTTCAATTTTAGTTTATATCTTATTAATATAATTAAATAAAATTTAGATTATCTTCTAATTTTAAGTTGATTGTTTATACGATATGTCTATATATTTTAAACGCTATTAAATTAGTTATATAAGTTTTATTGGTGTAGTGGTAATGGTGCCAATTTAAAACCACAAGGGCCCAGATTCCGAATCCCAGTCTTGTTTTATTTTTTATCCCAATGTCAGCGCCATATCAGCAACCATCAATAATAAAAGCCTGAAATTGAGCCCGATGCATACAATTGCAAAATATTGTAAAAGTGGTGTATATATTTACCAAGCTTAAAAGTGATGCATATAATTGCAAAATTAAAAAAGGTCATGGTTTTATTTGCAATTAAAATCCCGAAATTGGGCCCTATGCATACAATTGCAAAAAATTGTAAAAGTGATGTATATATTTGCCAAGTTTAAAAGTGATGCATATAATTGCAAATTTCAAAAAGGTCATGGTTTTATTTGCAATTACGCCTTTAAATAAGAAGGGAATGTGGTCTTGCTGTGCTCACATGAATTCAAGGAAAAAGAGGAAATATGAATTAGGTAGTTTTGCTGTGGAGCCATCCGATGGCTCCGCTTATGGAGCCATCCATAGTTATTGACAAATGGTGTATTGACACGTATCCTATAATAAATACATTTTGGACAGATGTCAATATATTAAGTAATGGATGACTTCATAAAAAACCATCCGATGGCTCCATAAAATTTTTGATGAATTAGGATTATATTTGTAAATTTAAATAAAAAATAGAGTGGAATAACACATCCCACCTAAAAGTTGTTAATAATTAACTTGGCCCTTCTATTTTAACGGGCTTGGACTGGTTGAAGGAAACATGTTTATAGGCATTAAATAATAGAGGAATTTACATCCCTTACTATCAGTTATGAAATATATTACACTTATACACTCATTATAATTTTATTTATAAAATTACAAAACAAGCCCAAAATATTTGCACTTATACCTAAGATTCTGAATGTTATTTACGGGGCAAATTAAATGTAATTGATAAACAGCCTCTCTCTCTCATTGTCTCTCCAAAACCATGGCCCACCTTCACCCACCTTCACCCACTTCTCTGCAAAAAAAACCCTCCTCGATTTTTCAGATCTGTTCAGAGGAGGAGGAGCCCTTTTCGAATCTTTCATTGGCCCGAGTTGTTGTTTGCTGCTTCTTGTCGCCGGCGGCCGGTGACCAAAACAGGCGCGACGGGAAGGTCTGATCAGACAATCAGATCGGGCAGGATTGCTACTCGCTGGACGAAGTCGAGCGGCCGAGGAGGATCGACGGAACTCGCTGCTCGCCACGGCTCCTTCTCGATAGGCGTACGACAGCAGGCGTGGGATCTCCGGCACAGCTTGACTCCCGGCGTGGATTGCTAGTTCGGCGACGGAGGGTGACGTGACCTCAGGTGCGACGGCGGACGGAACCTGCTACTCGCTCTACTGCTGCTATCTCGTCGATTGAGAAAGATGAGGAACGAGATCTGCTACCTGTTGAGAGGAGTCGCGCGTCAATGGAGAAGGATGAAGACGATTGATGGCGAAGGACGCACGCAAAGAAGAAAGTTGCGAAGGAATTTTTCTCTACTCTGCTGCTCGAGAATCTTTGGAGAAGATGAAGATTTTGCGATGAGAGGCGTGAATAAGGGTTTTATTCTGAACGATTTGGGCATATTTGGTTTATATGGAGTATATGTTCAGTATATGTTGTATATATAAGCAGTATATACTAAATATATACTAAATATAAACTCAAAATATACTGTTCATTCAATGTTTTATTTAGTATATTTCGGTATATGATTGATTTACATTTAGTAAAATCATGAAAAATATATACTATACATACATCTACATTTTTTTATGGTATATTTTATGTATATATATTAAATATATACCCAACAGAAACTCGAGCAGATATATTTGATGTAGGATACCATGGTAACAGAAATCACGTTCTTTCTTTTTTTTCTCTTTGGCGGAAATCATGGTAACAGAAAATTGATGGAGTCTACTTTTTAGGTAACTGAATTTTAG